CATTAACATAAACAGCTCTTCTGAACGGAAGTCAGAGCAGGCAGAACGAGAAAATGGGAAATTGTATTATCTGAGAACACTCGAACACTTCTAACACTCTAAAACTTAAACACTCTAAAACTTAAACACTCTAACACTTTAACATTCTAACACTCTAACACTTAAACACTCTAAAGGCCCCCACATACTCAGGCCTACTTCGATCCACGGAGGTCCGGACAGACTCAATGCGGACTCAAAGTGGCCGGACTGGTCTGAGCAGAGATCAATTTTTTTACGTCCGCGTTCGCAGTGTCGCCCAATAAACGGCCGGGCGAGTACTGTTTTAGAGGTGATAAAGTTGAGAATCTGTGTCATTTCTGGACGAAATGGAGTCAAATTTTGAAGAACGTCTCATGGAGGAGATTAGAAAACTTTATGATGCGTCAACGAAGGAATATAACGACTTCCAGTGAGCAACAAATTCATAGGAGGAAATAGCTCAGATTCAGTAAGGCTCAGTATGAGAGAATATTATTGCTGTCTTGGTTTACAGTCTTTGGTTTTACCTCCCAGTCTGATGTAAGTTGACAGCACTAAGAGTAAAACAGATGAGAGAAGGAGTGGACTCACTGTGATGAAGGTTTCAGCCCACAGTCTGGAGCGTACACTCAGGATGACGCTGCCTCCTCTCTGCAGCAGACCCACGTTACACTGCAGCTCCCAGCATTCCACAGCACTGCACGTCTACAGACGGACAACATGGACAGGATTCAGTGTGATCACAGTGGTTCATTCACACCAGCACAATGCAGGGGTGCCACAAAAACCAGAAGCAAGAACAGTTATTTGTTGTCATACATAAATTATTTGACTAACACAGAATCACCTTCTGATAAGGTTACTTTAGTTTTATTATTATTATTTACAGGTACTTGTTATTGTGAAAATCTGACACTTCTCAGCTTATTGAAATTAACACATCTAACCTCCTGAGACCTGCATCCTGATGCTGAGGACACTGGCTTTAGACTGGCTCTCTTTATTCAGGGGGATTAGATTTGAAAATTTTCTTTAATTCTAAAGCAAATATATATTTAGTTAGGATCCATTGTTTATTCAGAAGATTAAACCAGGATTGTTTATTTCTTACAATTTCTTTCAAATCTCTCCAGTGGTTCATGTGATTCATGGGATTAAAGTTAAAGTTATTAAATTAAAATTTTAAAAACAGATTTCAAATGATCAGTCAGTGCTTGGAGTATGTGTTGGTAATTACTCTCAGCTACTACCATAACATATTATTGTTTCATTTCACCCACAGTGAGCTGTTTTACAATTTTATTGTAGAGTGAATATGTTTACTTTTTCCTGCTATTTCAAAATCATTTGTTTTGATCTTTGCTTTTGTCATATTTCACCTTTATTGTGTTCAGCACTTTGGTTGCAGCATTTTTAAAAGTGCTTCACTAGGGATGCTCCGATATGAAAAAGTCAGCAGATATCGATATTCAATATTATTATTGGTGTTATGGCCAATAACTGATATTTACCCATATTACATAAACACAAATTATTTAAATACATATACACACAAACACACTTGTGTCTTTTTTCGATACCATAAAAACATGACCAGACCTCTGTCATGGCTCTACTTCAGTTTTTCCTGGCTGTGCAGCATCACTATCACTATCAAACAGATACCACTCAAAAAAACATTTCCTCTCCCAAACAATATCAGCCCAGTTTAACGTATCCCACAGAGACTTATGTTAATGGCWATATATTGTGCTACACTATGTTTTACAAATGAATTGACCTGACTTACTTTCTGTAACACTGGCTGATTTATAGTGTTTTATAGTGTCTGCCTTAGTGTTTGGATGTTCAGCAGTGGTGACTATTTTGAAAAGGGTTGACTCAAAAGAGGTAAATGTACAGACCCTTTCCAAAAAAATTAGAAGGTCATGGAAAAGTTTTTTAATTTCCATAATTCCATTCAAAAAARTTCAATTCTCATAGGTTATAGATTCAGGGCCCACAGATGAACCAATTTCAAGTATTTATTTGTTTATTTTTACATAATTTAGGCTTCCAGCTCTTAAAACTAACGAAGACAGGAATTCAAAAAATTAGAATACTGTGAAGGAATCAGCCCAAACTACTTTTCAGTTTTTGCAGAAACAAAAGAAAGAAAAAAGGATCACATCAAATCAATCAAATTATGGTACTTAAATTAAATGTCAATCTTCAATACTTGGTCTGGAGTCCCTTTGCCATAATCACTGCCTTGATGCAACRTGGCATTGAGGCAATCAGCCTGTGGCATTGCCTGGGAGTTATGGAAGCCCAGGGGGTGGCTGTGGTGTTGGGAATACCCCACAGATTCTCAATAGGGTTTAGTTCCAGCTAGCTGACTGGCCAATCAAGCACTGTGATGGCAGAAGCACCAGGTTTTGTTGCAGCATGGGCAGGGGCCAGGATCTCCTGGAAGAAGAACGTGTGTTTTCTTTGTCTCTCTTTTTGTCTCTCTCACTTTTTTCCTGCCCTCAGAGGAGAACTTAAGTCTCTTTTTCCCTCTCTTCTGCCCTTCCTTATCTTCCCTGCTTTGCTGTTTTGGAGCCTCCTCTACGTTTTCATCCGAAACCAGAAATTATGGATTTATTTTTAAGGATTTGGTTAGCTGGTCTCTTAATAAATTTTTGGAACAAAGTTTTCWTCCATGGAAGGACCTGTCAAAGATGGGACCTCTGTTCTATTTATATTTTGGATTCTGATCACTGGATTCTACAGATTGGCTTGGTGGTTTCCTGGTGTTCTGCAAAACAGTGTTGGTGGCTGTTCATTTCCTGGCAGCCTGACCAATATCAAGAATTGCCATTCTTTCAGCACTCAGACTCAAACCCTGGGCAAGCTAGACTCTGTCTGCAAGCGGTTCTTGAGGGTCGTGGGCCGACTGTGGTTCCTGGACTTTGCTGGTAAGATGGAATTGATCTGGAGAATCTGAGAGCTCGGCTCAGCGGGATTGCCCACACTATTTGTCAGATTGGATTCACCACATTGAGATGTACCAGCGAACATTAAGGCAGATGGAAAATTACAGCGGGTAAAATAAGTATTGAACACGTCACCATTTTTCTCAGTAAATATATTACTAGAGGTGCTAATGACATGAAATTTTCACCAGATGT